AACTGGATTATTGTTTATCTTTTTATCAGACTAAGCAATAATTGACCTCAGATCTACATACTTCCCGAGGAGCATGTAACCATTCTGAGATTTGATAACGAGGTGTTAGTAAGTCTGCCAGTTTTCGCAAATAATTTCAAGGCTCTATCCTTTACGTATTTTTTGATCGGATCAATGTTGAGGTCCCTGAGAATGTCATTCGTTCTAATGTACCACGGCACTTTGAAAAGTCTTCTTAAAGCTTGACTTTGTGCAATTTGTAGCTAGCGAATAGTAGTGTTTGAAGCTTTGCTAAACGCTACACATCCATATAGAAATGACGGACAAATTATTTGGTTATATAACAGTTTCCTGTTCTTAGCATTGAAATTTTCATTTCTAAATAGCGGTTGGAGGTGATGAAGAATTTGGGCACAGCTAATTCTTTTCAGTGGAACATGTTTAAGCCATGTGAATCGTTTATCCAACGTAATGCCGAGATATTTAAAGCTATCCTCCCAGTTTATTACCATATCACCCACTCTCATTCTCGACGGATTCTGTCTCCACTTACGCGTTATAAACAGAGCCTTCGTTCTTTCATTATTGGTTTTTATTTTCCATTTCTAGAAATACTCCAGAATGAGGTTTATATGCTCTTGAAATGTGTTGGCTATATTGAGAGCACATTTATCTGAGTATAGCATACCTAGGGACCTAACATTGGAATATCAGATATATAAATGTTGTAGAGAGCGAGGAAAGTGGCGATTTTGCTAGACTTATTATACAAACTTAAGAATTGAAAAGAACCACAGATTGTCAATACATGTATGGATAGTAATTTACATTATCTATATTTATATATATTTATCTATATATGTTTATTATTATAATATATGTTATGTATATATCTACTATATTATCTATATTTATACTAGAACTAAAAAGTAAATGACTTATTTATTTTCTTTGTATTTGATGAAAATAAACTTTGATTATGTTGTGAATCTAGTCAAGACCTATTTTTCTATATCTCTTGTTGAAAAAGATCTGATGCAAACATCTCGACGCTTTATTTCAAACATCTGGTTACTTTATCTTACATTTAAAAATTGCTTAATAAGACAATAATGTGTCCAGATGATGAAAAGACATCTAATAAATACATTAATTTTGGAAAACTGGTTGCAGAGCCAAACCAAAAACTTTAATAAATCTTTTGTCTTAACTTGTCTCTTCAATCGTGACTTTGAAGTTCTAATCTTACAACTTTCAAACGTTTATAGCACATTCATCACATTCATCACATTCATCATTCATCACATTTATTACAGCCTATACTACCAATAAGAAGCCTAATTGTTAACATTGAGCAGCAACTTTTATATATACCTAGCTAGTAAACACAACTAATTAACAGCTAAAGAAGTGCTGTTAACTGGCTTTTTGACTTTTGGTTATGCTAGTGTTTATATTTGCGATATATAAATTTTCTTCATAATTGCCATAAACTAAGTTTAGTAGAGCAATTAGATTTTTCAGCCCCTTAAATATTTTTTTTAATATAATTTTGTATAGTTTAAATAATTCTCCTTGATCTAAAAACTTTTCGTTTGCTATTGTTTTTTGAAAAACCCACATATATTTTAAATTGGCTATAAAATAGAACACATAAGCTTTTTCATTATCGAACTAAAAGCTTTGAAAACTGTTAATACTCTAAGACAGTTGATATTAACTTATAAAAAGTAATAAACTTTTACACACTTTCCTTTAAAAAATCCACATATTTGCGTAATAAATTTTACCCTAAAAGTGTGGAAAAGTTTTCATTACTTCATATAACATAGTTTATTTAAATCTTTAATGTCTTAATAAAGCTTTTGTGATATTTTAATAGCATTTAAAGAAATATTTTCAAAACAAAATTCTCAACGTTAACAGTAAAAATAGAAAGTGAAACAGCAAATTTCTCCACATTCTTTAATTTCATTTAAAACTTTCTCCGAACGAAACCAAATATTTCAAAACAAACTTTCAAAGACTCGAAGTAATTTGAGAAATTTGCGGAATTTGAGCAAAAATTACTGTGAAATACTCTGTGATAGATGCACTGGGAAGTTGAAATAAACTACCACAATTTAGTGCAGTTACTGCAGAGTTGAAGAAGGATATATAAGTGTATAAAATAATACAGAAAAATTAATATTTAAATATTACTTTAGTGCAGACTCGTATGATTGATAATGTTTCAAAACAGAGATTAGATTTAAAACAAACCACATGTGCTCTTTTGCGTGAAATAATGTAATAAATGTCACATGAGAAAGTAATTGAAAAAGAAAGTAGAAGGATATCAAAATATAAATAGATATTTAAATTATAAAATGCACATATCAAAAAAAATTTATATCATATTGAAGGTGTTACAATATAACAAAATCTAGGGAAGTTATAATAGATTGACTTCTTCATACTCGTAAAAGCCTGTCTGAGATACCTTGAACAGATATATTTGTATGCATAATAGATACTTTTTTAAAAATATATAAAACACAAAAAGGCTATGAGATATCATTTCTATTTTCCGTTTTCATTACAGCAAAATTTAAAATAGAATTTCAAGTAACGAAAAAGAAATTGATTGATAACAATTTAAAAAAAACCTTGAGACATCACAGAAAATAATAAAATAACTGAGAGTAATTTGTGCAGTATAATACCGTCCTCAAATCGTGTAATTTTTTTTTAATCTATGGTAAATTTGCTAACACACTCACCGATCTGTAAGTGGCGTAATTACTAAACGATCCGTACAACCCAAATATTCATTTTGGTACGTAAATGTTACATCTGTCACTGATATCCAAGTTTTGTCTAAATCTTCCTTAAAATAAAATCGACATTGCTTTAACCACTCAAAATCATTCGCCGACTTTATGTTCATGCGGCACTGAAAATAATTTTTAAAATTTCACACCTTTTCATATACACATATAAATTTCAATAAAACCTATTTCTATATTTAACCTAAAATTCATAAGTGTCAACTAACTAGAACTGCCTTACATATTATTCTTTTTACATTATTATTTCTTCAAGCCATATTATTCTCTTTTCTTTACAAATTAATCTATCGCTCCTAGTTTATTTCTCACATTATTCCAATAATTATTTTTAACTATCTTACTCACTTACTCATTTTGTGTCCCATACTTCGTCATTGGTACCCCCACTTATTTCTTAAATTTCCTTTTATATTCTTATCTCTTAGTTAGTTGTGGTGGATGGAGGACGAATCCTCCCCAATTAGCTAAAAAAGCTAATAACCCTCTATCTAGGGTAGTAGATAGAGGGTTAGCCTAAAACCAGCCAGAGGCATTAACACAGGTAAGAATCTGGGTAATGCTAATGCTGGAGATATCGCTAAGTGAGTTAAAGAAGGGGACCCCCAGAAGCTTAAACCTAGTTCTGACCAGACCTGTACAAAAACACATCAGGTGTTTTGGTGTCATTTCTTCAGGGGCTGGTACACACGCACTGCAAGTGGTACCACAGGAAAGGCCGACTCCAGCTCCATGTCGTTCTATGGACCAGTGTCCCATAAACACAGATATTAGCCTAGATACCTCAGATTTGTTTCTACAAATTTTCTTATCCTTTGCTTCCTCCCCTTTTTTTACTCTAACTTCATTGTAATATTTATAACTCATTTTATACCATTTTTATTTCTTTTCACAATTCATCTTGATATTCTTAAATGTTAAATTTTAGTTTTTCTCTTTCTCTTCCCTGTTTTCTTTTTCTTTTTTATTAAGTTTTACACGCAATACTTTAAAATCTTGTATATCTACTTCAGGTATAAAAGTGAAGCTTTTTATGACTCAAAGAATCTCTATTTTTTTTTTTTTCGTCTCATTACTTTTATGGTCTCTCATTTAAATTATATCTCTAAGTTTCTCTATCTTTCCCCTGCTCACTATAAAGCATTCTTTTGGTTTAACTTACTCATAATCCCCTTTTATTATATTTACCAAAATATCAAATATGTCCCGTTGATGTACGTGTATCGTTATTAACGTCTCGAAACTGGTGCGTTCCATTTTCGTCAAATTACGCGTTGTTTGATCTATAAGTGTATTAAGCATTTCTAAAAATTTATTATTTGTCTCTGACATGACTTTTCTCTCAACTCTGGCCTGCATCAGTGCCATTTCCGCGTCGCGTGTCCAAATCATTTGTATGCCAAGTAAACCAATTTGGGCTGGCACTTTCTCTAAAAAGCCCAACAAAGTAAAATTTGGATCATTAATAGTCGCATAAGCGGTTCTAATAATCGAGTGTAATGACTGCTGTGCTGTGACCAGTAATTGAGTAAGCCATGTCTCAACAGAACCCTCCGCACGTATAGCGCGATCAAGTTGTATAGTTTCGCCCTCGCTTGAAATAATTGCCATCATCTTATTATATTCAATATCGTGAAATTTCACTTTACGAGTATTATCAAAAATGGAGAGCAAATGATTTTGTATGGTGTGTGAGTCTGATGCTTGACCCAATATTTCCAATAGTGCTGGATCCGATACAAAAAAGAAACGTGGAAACATCATACGTTTGCGCTCCAAATATCCACTTAACGATTTTTGACAAATTTCAAGTTGCTCCTGTAGATGTGGTAATAATTGTTTAAGTAAATCATCGCCGACACAACATGCCACGACGCCTGGCGTCTCATGTGCACGTTGCATTATTTTTTGCCAAGATTTATCAATTTTAGAGAAACGTTTGGCTTCTTTCGGTAATTGTTTAGCTATATCACCGCCTACAAATACAGCCTCTAAATATACCCACATATTTTGCACAAGCAACCAACGTTCAAGTATCTCATTCGAGTTAGATAAATCAAAGACCCATTGTTGGATTTGTTTGCGAAATGGTGCATTATAACGATTTGACAGCAATGAACCCAAAACCATTAAACTATCTTCCAATTGACCTATAGTTTCAGCAGTTGTATCACCTCGTAACAATAGTTCGCCACGATTATTGAAACTCATAAACTGCAGCTCATGTACTGACCATTCATTAGTCACTTGTTTTAGCTTAGCTTCAATATCTTTCTCTTTCATAGCACTTATGCATATATCCTCAATATCCTCCTTGTGCTTAAGTAGTGGAGCTTCAAGTATATTCTTTAACGAGAATCCTTCAGAATCAAATTCAAATATATACTGTGTAACATCCATAATCCGCTGCCAATGCCGTGGTTTCATTGCTTTGTTCGCCATAAGCTCAAGCAATGGGCACATGTCGTTGAAATCATCAATAGTTTTCTTAAGCGCGTGGAAAGCAGGCCACTCTTTCAAACCTTTAGGCAGTTTTCTACAACGATTTTGGAACTCCATTAGTTCATTGTTAATCTCTTCAATATCAACTTCATTCCAAGGTATGTCATAGTAACTGCTAACACGATCAATAACATCATTATAGAGTTTATATAATTTTTGTAATAGATTAAGTTCTTTGCGTATTTGACCGAGTTCAGGATAATCTGTTTGCGGTAAGCCGAATAATTCCTCACCACTCTGATAGGCTTGCAGACGGCGCCACATACCCTCAAACCGATTTTGAAATAGTATTAGACGATCGGAAGCTTCACGTGGTGTTAGACCCGCCTGCATTGGACCAGCTGTACGATATTCATTAACATAATCAATCTTATCTTGTTTAAATTTAGAAAGATTATTCTTCAAATCATCCTGGAAAGATGGCTGCATTTCAAGCAATTTAACTTGAGCTTGTAGCGCACATGACAACAGATTTTGAAAAGTTGCACGTAAATTATCTACCAAATCGAACTGTTCACGTTCAACTTGTATATCATATCGGGTAAGCACATTAAAAGCTTCCTATGGTAACATCAACAGAGATATTAATAACTTATTATTTGCATAAATTTATGTACTTACTTCAATAGGGTCTATACGTAATTCCATATCAACTTCTTGTTCTCTTATCTTACTTAGAGTTTCCATAATCATGCGCACGTCGTCCAAGTCACGTATTGGACGATCTAGTTTACGATCCATTTCATTTATGACAGCATACACATAGTCCATTTCTTTCTTATATTTCTTCTTCATGGCCTGACCAATTTTATGTGTACATGCTTTATATGTAATAGAAACAAGAGTGTAGATATAAAATAACTGCAGATTAATGGCAATGTTAAGAGGTGCAAAAGTGCTAAACAAATTAAGTGCTTTAAATATTATATAGTTGCACTTAAGAATCTATAACTTAAAATTAAAAATATCTATCACTAGGACTACAGAAATTTGGATAATAAAATTATAATTAATAATATATTATATTATAATGTTTTAATAATTTATGGAAATTATCTACGAGTATCATGATATATAAAAATTTATAAGCAGTTAGTTATAAGCAGAAGTTGCTCTGCAAATGATGTGTTGGAAAATATATGTGTAACTAGAAAAAAATAGATTAGTACAGTCAAACTTCCATAACTCGAACTTCTATAACTTGAATTTTCTACAACTCAAACTAAATAGAGTACAACAGGCTTTAGAGAGCAAATAACATATAATTGCAAAAAATTCTGTAACTCGAAGTCTCCATAAATCGAACCTTTTCTTTGCAAAATGGTACTTCGCATTATAGTAGTTTAACTTTACATAACTTTAACATCATAGGTCTCTGCGAATGTATTTCAGAGACGCTTCAAAAAAGTGTGGATCTATCTACAGGAAATTTTCTATATTTTCGAGAAAAACTTTCTACAGTAAAGTACAGTATCAAAAAGACTTTTGTTTTATTAAAAATTTTGGTGCATAACTATTCAACTGAGTTTCATAACAATTGGTTGCAGAAACATGTTTAGTGCACTTCATAAATTTACTAAATCTTTTAAATTTTAAAGATATTTGAAATTATCTTTATTTATCAACTACTCAAAACCAAGAGAATGCAAAAAAAAAATATTCTTCATCTACATTAAACATTAAGTGAATAATTGGCAATAAAGTGAACTCATCGATAAAATTGAATTGGAAATGTCTGTAAATTATTTTAACACTAAATAAACGTTATTTACACTCCAAATTAATAATTTACAAAAGATTACACAAAGTCATGCAATTCAAAAATGCGAGTATTTCAAAAAACAAACAATCGGATTATTCATGTTTTAGTTA